ACCAAGTCATGTGCCAAAACATCCCCATATAGGGCCAGAAGTTCAAATCGACCGTTTCCATCATTTTTGAGAACCTTATTTTCTGTCAGTAATCCCAAAAGTTCAAGCAAAATTTAAATTAGACATTGAAGAAAACAAGAATATAATTTCTGAGACAAAAGGTACCATCTGTGGAGTTGCTTATTCTGTACCACATGAAATACAGTAGATATCAAAGTTGGAGCCAAAACATTCCTACTGGCCCAGATTTGGGGAAGGTCTCAGATATCTCTACTTGTATAGGGATCTTGATTATTACTGATAGAGATTACAGTGTACATGTTATCCATCAGTGGAGAATGTTTTAATTTTTTGGGGTCTCAAGCAGTGTCTCAATTAGAGTTTATTCCATAAAGGAAACTACCAGTAAGAGTTTTGGAGCTACTTAAAAGTTTTGTATTTCAGCAGCTTAGAATTTTGGACACTTAAAAAATTTCAGGCAGAAAAAAAATTTGGACAGTTTTATTTACCGACACTCTGAAATTAAAATCGCCCAAAATATTTTGCAAGTATTGTAATGTAATTCAGCTGACAGAAACAATAAAAGAGGCTTTACCCATCATCGTCTTGTATGTTGACATTGTATTTCTTGCCACCTTTTTCTAAACACAAAGATTAAAAATTAGTAAGTATTTCCAGACAATTAAGAAAACATTACAAATCCACAACAGGCAACACAATATACTGTCCATTTTGGTAAGTAAGTAAATAGCAAAAATTCCAAGGACTATAATATTTAAAAGTATTATCCAGTGTTATACATTGTATTATTTCCCAAACAGGACAGTGTTTTAGTAATGTTGTTATATATTGTACATGGGATGGTGTGCCGCCTAATTTTGGAAATAACTGAACCTAAAATGGGATTTGACTGAAACGATATAAGTCTTCATTCTGTTTATTTGCCTTTTTACTTAATACAGTAATTACTGTAGGGTTTAGAAAAATGATATGCATAGATTATTGACTAAGAAATATCATTGACCTAAATAAATTTAACACCTGATATGCTAATACAATCAGTCTCCCAGACTTGTGGCAATTTTATTCCACCTCTATAAATTTTAAAAAAACCATTATGTTCAGGAAAACATTGATTCTTTTTTTTATTATTATTTAATTTTTCAACAGGTCAAACAATTCAAAACAGGTACATTTTTGGCTGAAAGAAATTAAGAAATATTTAAATAAGTATGAAAAGCAAATATACATCAAATACCATATTGTAAAATAATGCAGACAGCTGTCTACAATAAAGACAGCAATATTTTCATTATTGAAAGCAATCACAAAATTATGATTAACTTGGGTAATCTAAGAACTAAAAGGGTTAATTTGAGTTAGACCCAAAACAAATAGGCAGGGTTTCCTCAATTTTAATTATTAAGTTTGGTCACATTGTCTTGTTAAAACAATCAAACAGTAGGAAATTATCTCCCTTGTGCATACAGCTACGTCTAAATTAAAACATCTCGAAAAGTCACAAAGCAAACTGTTCCTGACATAAAATAGTTGTTAGCTGAGGGATCCCCTAAATAAATAAATTAGCAGGTAATGGGTAAATTAGTGTATCTCTAATATAACTAGTGACAAATCGATGAGTGAATTTTTCTAAATATTTGAATTTTAGCGAGATAATTTATTATCCAATTTATGATATCAAGAAAGTGCCTAGTTATGGGTTTTGGCAATCTCACCAAAATATCTCTTCCAACACTTGACTTCACAAAGATATATAATAGATACATATATAATTGACCAACCAAAAGCGTTTTTAAAATCGTCACGTGAAATGTTATCAGAGTAAACGAGTACAGCATGCATACAATATCCGGACTCAATATCTTCCTGAATCGTATTAGCACATTGCTGAAACAATAAACATGAGTTGGAGATCGCCATTACATTTTCCAATTGACAAAGCTAAACTAGTTTAAATTTGAACAAATAATTCTTGTGGTTTTCATTCCTTATGAGGGCCAACAAGTTGTTCTTTCAAAAAGATTGACAAATAGACAATGTATTATCTTAGATTCAGTGATGGCGAATGCACATCTCTCAACACCTTTCATATACGCGCACGAGACATCTTGCGAAACAAACCAGGCTTTCATATACCTTCACAACGCGACTAAGTTCATATTTTCAAATGCGAATGCCACACTAAACGATTATTAAAATTGTTTTGCTAAACCCTTACTATAAACCAGACTTGCAACCCACATTACATAATGAAAGACTCACGTAAAAGGGAAAGTTTTCCGGAATATTACCAAACTTCTTTCAAATGTTTGTATAATTGATCAAGATAGAAGTACTCACTTGATTTGGCCGCTTTTATTTTTGCCGCTACCTTCCTGAAGGCATTAAGGTCGTTGGATTTAACCGCCTGGAGTAATTCCTGATCTTTAGCCATGACATTAAATGTCTATGTGTCCACAGGCGACTGTCTTATTCAACCACTTTGAGAGCAGCTGGTTCGCGGGCCTGTTCACAGTGGTCAATTCTCTTCAACAAATAGGGTCCACATTTCACTGCATTCTTCCAAACAAAGCCACAGCAATGCTTTCCCTTAGTGCATTCTTAAAACGGGCGAGACATAGAAGCAGTACAGGAATTTAAATCCAGAGAAAATACACTGATCATTTAGCGGTTGTACAAGGTAAATAGTCATTCGAGAACGGAATCGATTTTACGACGTGACATCAAGATGATCTTCGGATTAGCGAAAATGACGTCACAATTTCACGCGAGGGCGGTGAAAAAGCCCCCAACCACCGTCTCCCTGTCCATGCTTGCAGGGTACAGGAATAAGTGGATGTTGAGGGACCGAGAGCAAAATCGAAATCGTTTCAGTTGCGATTCAGTTGCAAAATTCTATCCGGGTTTGCGAGGAAATACGCTCAATTTACACGATTGCGAAAGGCATTATATATTTCGAGAAAAGAGTGCGACACTAGTGTTCAGTAGCAATATTCGTCACCGGCTCTGTCGCTTTTTAATTATTTTGATCTGCGGGAATACCGGATACTTTTGTTCACATATCCATTTGAGTGCTGTGTCCTAATTGTCTGTGTGCTGGACTCCGGATCACAATTTCAGGTTTTGTTATTGAGCCGTCGCTGCCAATGCGCTTTTGTTGTGTCACATCTGCACCTCAATTGAAATGTCAAAAAGAATTTTGAGGTCTTCTAGTCTTCTATATAGATTTAGTTGAACGTGGTGAAAGAGTTAAAAGAGTTGTTCACTTATAACATGACCTGCACCTACACGAAAAAGGGAGAGCAATTCACTGTGCCTACCATTCTTTCCGCAACGTCAAAAATATCTCGGCCATCTACAGAATAGCTCAATAATAAATCAGTGGGTCTTTAGAGAGGGATGAAGTGTTCAAATTTTCAATTTATCGAATCCAAAATTCAACACCTGCCCCCGGGACACCTCGATCCTGATCCAAGATAAGACCTTAAATGGCCAGGTACAAACTACCTTAATGAGTGTCTAATGACTCGATTTAGCCGGCGATACCCTTTCAAATAAGCCCTTCCCCTCGAGTGCGTTTTTTTAATAATCACCCCTCACCTTCCCTATAATTTTTTAAGCGCTCTATCAGCGAAAGTGACATTCAAGGCAATGACATAGAAAAGAGCGATTAGAAGTCTGCTTTCTTCTCTGAACATTACTATAAGAACCCCTTTGGCTGCAGCCCGTCTTGAGTTAAAATATCTGTCTCTTGATCACAGTCAGATCAGTATAATGTTCAAAAAGGAATATGTGCTCCGTCCCTGGTAAGCGTCCGCTCTCCAATACGCGCCCTCCTTTGAGCTGAAGTAAACTAGCGCCCTATGCGCTAAAGCGAATCATCACAGTAAGTGAAGGAAAAGACTTTGGTGTACTCATCTCTGTGATTGCCTTTTAGACAGTTTATTTCACGGTAACTAAACCAACTTTACAATTCAACAGAAAATTCACGATGCGATATCTTACCAAATACTATATTCAGCTCAACCTCTTTTCCAGATCCCTTTCTCTTTCTCTTTTAAATTGAACCCGTAGCCCTGGGAGGAGGGGGGAGAGGAGGCCAAGAGGAGGGGAGTAGGGTCCTGTGCCAGAAAATTCATCACGTATTATATACGCTTGTATCATATCGCAAAAAGTAACAACAAGATTAATGAAAATAATCGTACCTAGAATGCGGAAGAGAACACCAAGGTGGTTTGCTGATTTCTCATGCTCATTGAATCATGAAATAATCGAATCATAAGCAAAACACTCAGGTCAAGAATGCATGGACTGCGCAAAAGCGAATACAGCTTCACATTGTGCAGATCTGCTTAACAAAATCTGAGTGAAGGATCTCAAAGTGACGACCTGTCCTTAAAATGAAGATCAACTGAAATACTTTGGATTCCTTGTACATCTTGTATGTATATATTGATCAAAAAGTCAATACGTACACACAGCTGAAACAACATATTTCGCCTTTTTTTGCACTGGGCAGACATAAAAATATTGGTTCGAATACAGATTCTTTTGTAGAACGTTTCTTTCACTAATGGAAAAAAAATCAAAAGCCGTGTAAATGTCATATCAGGCTGGCCTAAATTGTTTTGGGCTGGAAACTGTAACACAAGGGAATTAAAGTTATGTACACAGAGCATTAAATACGGAAATACGAAGCTTAAAGACTTCAGTCTAAATGACGCCTAAAGACAAACCTGCCAGTTTGGCCTCTCAAAAGAAAGGGACAACAGACAGTACAAAGATAATGTACAATCTTGTATTGATCATTATTCACGGTTACAGTAGCTATCGGCTTCAACCTCGTTTCCTGACAAGATCTTCGCCTGCTACTCTGTTACAGTAGGTACTCAAAGACGTTTCTAACTTGAGATAGAGTTGTTTTAACTCCTCTTTCTTACTTGCTAGTACTTCGTGTTGCGCGAATTACGTTGAGTCTCATAACATTTTCATTATCAGATAGTTAGTACTTCTCTTCCTCAATTTGGCTTGATCAGTTGAAACAAAGGTTTAGTGAAGTAGATAGTTGAAATTTTACACATGATACACGATTTGAGCGAGGTGTAACTGAGGCAATTACGGCTAAAAGTTGCATGACTAGAGATAGTTTCTTTTGTGGTGTTGACAAAAAATACTTATGAGATGCCGAGTCCGTAACAAGTACGTGACTCGATGAACGATTGTACTCAGTGTGGAAAAAGTGATGCTTAGGGTAAATCAAAACCTAATCAGTATAAATATCATCGTACCTGATTGAAGCACTTTTTCCTGATAAAGTCAAGCGACCACTGAAAAATTCATGCTGCCTTTATCCTAAATGGTTGCATGAGTAGCTGACAGAAATATCCGTTTTTTGAATCGTCTTAGCGCCTTTTATGACAGGCCACTTAAGAATTAACATTAAATCATGACAGGATGGGTGCTAAAAAGCTAACAAGGCAGAAAATAATCACTGTTCAATAGCGGAATTTTCACTGTCAGTTCATCAGCCCAATCGACAGGCTGAGCACTCCATTCAAAGGCTCAAAGCAAGCCAACTTCGGTATCGTTCGAAAAATTGTAACTGTACAAAAAAATGTAATCTCCCTTTTATTCCCTACGTGGAGCGAGAAGCGCATGTCTCGTCACGTGCGATCTGACTGAGAACTCGCAGTAAATTCCAGGTAAACTCCTGTTAAACTTGTTTGGAGTAAGAGGGTTAATACCGCATGCTGACCATAAGTTGTCACGTCGTCTGCACGTACTTCAGTAATCGACACGGATAAGCAGCAAATTATCCGATAACTCAGTCACTTTACGACCCAAATTTGAGGAGTGAAACCTCCTCTGGCGAGATAGATCTGTTCTTACATCTCTTATGAAACGAAGACCTTATTCAAAACATTCAGTTCAAAAGAGTCCTGAGTATAGAAACTTTCCCGGGGGGATACTTCCAGAAAAGTTGGGTGGGGGTGTGCGGCTCACTTCTCAAAACTCTTACCCTATTTATGGCCAAAATCTGGGTTTTTTGGTACCCTATTTATGACCTGACCAAAAATTCGATAGCCTATTTATGACCGTTGCTGCTGACACATTTGCCCTAAACATAAGTTATGAAGGGCTTTTGATGACGGTGTTATTGATAATAGTGAAAAAGTAGCTTCTTTTAAGAAACATACCCAATTCAAGACTAGAGTGCAGGAGTGCTAAAACTACACCCTATTTATAACCAAAATGGCCAAAATCGATACCCTATTTATGACCAAAACAGCTGAGAAACCCTACCCTTAGGGGCCGCACATACCAATATAGCCCATATAGGGGAGTACCCCCCGGGGAAACTTTCTAAATGCATCTGTCTTCCGCAAAAGACGGTCACGACCTGGAATCCGCTAGTAACTGAGTTTATTTAGGCCTCGTGAAAGACTACGTAGTGCTAATGACAAATTATCACATAGGTTGTGATGTGGCAGGTCTGGCAGCGAAAGAGAAACTAAAATAATACTAGTAACTGCTTTTTTTTTTCCGCCGATGCTTCCTCCTCAAGGAAATGCCCGTGGAGTGTTAACGCGTAAAAACAAGGTAGTACTCATATCAGAACTCGTAGCATAGATGCATTACACTTAACTGATTTCCATCCCTGACTGCAATTTTAGCGTTTTTGCTTTACACTTATAGCTATACATTATTTAAGCCTGATTATTTTCTCAGTTTGGTGCCGCCCTCTAGTTTAGCTCGAGGAGGACGTGCTCAAGCCGGTAACTCGAAGGGTCGGGTCGCCTTGTGTACATATGATAACGAACTTCTGATTTGGACGTACTGTACTAACGTTTTAAAAGACTTGAAGGTAGTTGCTGTGTCAGCGCAATTAACCGTAGCGGAAAGGCCATCAAACCAGCGTAATTAGCTTACTATGTCAATACTTTGTATGAACAATTATAACTTCATTAAAGCCTCTGGGACACCGGAAGTAACACAATTGGCCGATTGAAAGCACGGAAGCCAAAAATACACACGATGTCTGCTAATTTGTCTTAACAGTGTAACAAAAAGATATCAAAATGCAATTTAAACGGCTTTTGAACGAATATATGCGTACTTTTTTCGTCGTTTTCTGTTGAATACTGACTCGATGGACTTGCTTTCGCGACTGACCAAAGGATCATTGCTTTTGAAAAGATCTCCTAATTCAAAGTCCATTTAACTAATAGTTTCATTTTCTTTAAAAGAATGATCGCTAACAGTAGTTTCTTTGCATATTTTACTCCTCTTAAATGTACCTTTTATTGTCTCTAAAGTTGCTTCCTAATAGTGTATTTGTTGTTCTCCATTACCACATATCCGTTAAGTCCATCATTGTCTTAGGAACAAACGCAAAGCATAATTACAATCAAGAATGGAAATGATGCGCATTTCCAAAGCAGGAGAAATGAAAGCTACACGCTTTTGTACTTTTGAGATATTTTTTGGATTACGAGTTCTTTCAATGAGAATTCAGTAAAAGTCGTGACCTTTCGTAAAATCCATCATGCACATCATGACAAGCAAAGTGGTCGGTCTTTAAGCCCTGCAATGGATAGCACTGTTTTGACATTTGCATTTTCCATATTGTGTCGCAAAATGGAATGCGCAAAAGTGTCCTTTGTTATTCTAAGGAAGGATGACAATAAAACGCCTGTCAAATTGAACAATATGATCTATATATTGGCTGACACTTTCCCGAAAACCTCTAACCCCATCTACTTTTGCGCAGCAAAGAGACGAGGCCTTTACCGTAGCACACGAACTTTTGGGTGCACATCAGCGAGCTCAGACTCCATGGCGTTTAATTAGATGATGAAGTGGGAGTAAATACTTCATGTCGCTAAGACGAGAAAACACGGCTCCATCGCGAGTGTTTCATGGAGCGTCTTCGATGCGCCCGCCACGAACTTTCACGCCACCACAACAGCGAGCTCAAGGCCAACTTCCACGAAGAGGAAGTCTCGGTCTTGTCCAGTACTCCGCCGATAAAAAGCCAAATTATAGTCGGAGCAACAGCTTCAGCTGCGCTAATGACGACCTTAGTCCAGCCAAGTTAGACTTTCAGTCTCTGAAGAAACGACCAAGTTTATTGGGTGGCAAGCTGAAGTCTGGGAGTAGAGACACTGAGGGGGGAGGCCGCAACGAGAAACACTCTATAGTGATGTTGGGAGCGGGAGGAGTAGGCAAGACAGGTATCAGACTATTGAGATAACTGTGTTGTAATGTTCAGTGCTGTCAAATGCAACTTGGTGATTAGATCAGTCAGTGTGCAGTCGACTGTTCGCTTTTTTTTTGCCTTGGCCCCTCAAGAAGGGAATCCGGTTTTATGCAACATTTGAGACGAATCAACAGATTAACCGCAGATTAAACCATACCGCGCGTGACTGTTGAAGGGTTTTGAGAATTAACAGCATAGAGCTGCTGCCCTTCATAACATCACACGGAACGTAAACTTACGTAATCCATATATCTCGTGCAAAATCAGTTATTGGCTTATGTCCTAGATTTCTCAAGGGATTCCACTTGAACCTTTTCTCTCAGGAAAGTTGATATAGATATTTTTCCTCGCCTTAACTTCTCCCCTGCATTGGAAGGTATAGATACGTTACTCTAGATCTGTTATCAGAATGTATATAATTTGTCGGCTTTAGTAAATCTTTCATAAAGCGTTTTGTTTGATCAACGATTAATGCGACTGACATATTTTTCTCTGCTTTGTTTTTCAGCTTTAGTGGTTCGCTTCGTGACTGGTCGATTTCTTAATGAATATGATCCTACACTGGGTAAGGAAGAAGTTTATTTAAAACACTCCAAATAAACCTGTGAGCACTCCTTTGACGCGACAGCCGGAAAACCGGGATAAGTTGGTGTCGGTTGATTTAATTCCCGCCAGGTTTATGTACAAAATAGCTTTGGAGTGATGATTTCTTTAGCAGCTAGTTTACACGTGTAGTGGCGCGCGCAGAGGTTAATAATGACAACAATGCTGGTAGCAACTTGAAAATCCATCTAGTTCTAAAAGGATTTGTACTCATCTAGTAAATGCGGTTGTTTGATGCGATCAAACAATTGTTTAAAAGTAAATCGCTTTGTATTGTAATTTTAATGTACTTTCGATTCAGTGTTTTCTGTGTTACAACTTGCGCTTGGTCCAAGCATATAAAGAGTTCTATCCCAATTCCTTCGAACAGTTTTTGTTTTCCCCTGAGAATTCGAAATAGCGAGGTTCAATTGTATATCTTTTGAAACGTCGGAACGTCGAGTGTTAAATCTTTCAGTAAGTTTTTCAACTGTATATGGATACTTAATAAAATCTCATTAGTCCTCGCAGAGTCGATGCGAGTGACGAGTTGATCTTTCCGCTGATCACGTTGAAGTTGAAGTTCCGATTATGCCGCTGGTTTGAGTTTCGTCCATAAATCATGCCTTTATATCTGCTAAGTACCGCCTTTTTTGTTGTTGTTTAATGAAAACGCTGATTTCAAAGACCTGTTTGCGGCTCTAATTGTGCACATGGGGCGTCAATTTGCTGACATAGCACGGGGGTACTCCTGTAAATTTCGGATAGGTGTGTGCCGCGAAGGGTCTTAAACCCTGACCCTATTTAAGGATGAAGCAAACGCAAATTGATACCCTCTGGACAAACCCGAAAAATAACGCCCTGTTCAAGGGAAAAACAAAGCTAAAAATGGCGTGTAGGGGGGAGGGGGGCAGCTTTTTTTTCTGTTCTGTAACAATGGAAGCTTAGCATCAAGCAGAGAATTTGGTTTTCGTTTGGCTGGGCATTTACCCACTGGAATTTAGCTGATGCAATTTAAGTACCCTAAGGGCAAAACTGATACACGTACCCTATTTAAAGATTGGGAACCTCAAAAACCCTACCCTATCCTGCGGCACATACCCATATAGCCAATATATGGACCTACCCCCGGCCCCCCCCCCCCCTCACCGCATAGCACTCAATGCATGCGTGACTGAACTTCCTCCAGTTGCAAAGCACCCAAATTTGTTCTCTCTTTAGAGATGGTGTATGAGAAAGCCGTGCCCATTGGAGACAGCACCGTTTCGCTGGATATTCTGGACACTGCTGGCAATGTAAGCAGCTAAGTCGCATCTTCTTTGATCCTTTAGTTGATTGTTTTAAAATGTTTTGCCTTTGAGTGCGAACAAGAAAAGTAAACAGCATGTTTTGCCGACCAAGGGGTTCAGTTTACAGATAATTTTGCCGATAGCTCAAGATGAAATGCGATTGTAAATCGGAGATCCTTTGAGATAGCGAAAATGTTAACACCTCCAGATTTGTCACCAAGATCAGTGTAGCATGCAATGCGTTTCAGTGATAAAATGTTGCTCGATTTCTTTTAGAGAATTTTTGTTGATTTGTGGTTTATATATAAGTGAAGAAGGTTTTCCTAAAAACTGTCTAAACTCCCATAAGTGGTTTCTAGGCTGTTATAGATTGTGCTAGCATGTTTGCCAAAATTTGAGAAGAGTAGCATTATTTTCACCACTGCTAGTATGATCCGTATATTTTGACAGGCGCGTGGACTCCCAAACACACTTTAACGTTGTTCGATGTTTTAGCACCAGTATTTCAAGTTTACTGAGCCCGGGGACTGGGGCCTACCGGAAGTCCCATTATATACCAAGTCGTTCCCATTACCTCTCATAGGCAAGGCTACAAAATGGCGTCAAGCACGCCAGCTGATTCGAGCGAAAATTAGCAGAAATATTGCATCTCTGTCAGAGAATTGACGGGTCAGAACAAGCTACAATTGCCAGCTAACAAGAATAAACGTCTTCTAATGAAAGAAAAATTTATTTTGGACTTATTTGCCATGTTTATAAAGAGTGCAATTTAAAAAAAAGTAACATAATTTTAGCTTAATTTGCCCAGAAAAAGAGCAGTGCTACTAGAATTATATACCACTTTTACTAACACAAAGCCAAGTGGTTTCTCTTAGCTTACGATCAAAATAAGATGAACGACCGAGTGTCCCTTTAGGAGATGCGTTGGGTGGTGTCTATTATACGTTGTTATATTCTCGCATTTTGATTGGTTCTTACTTATGGTCTGTTGGATCATGGAAGAGAGACCCGTATATGACGTCATTAACATTTTAATGCTTCTTTATTATACAAAACAGATAGATTCCATGTTACCGTGCGTCTGTTCAGTAATAAATCACGGAAGACGTCAAAATGTGGTAAGAACATCAGTGACACACTCGGCTATCGCCCCGTGTGCCACTTATTTGCTCTTGCCACATTTTGGCGTCATCTGTGATATATTACTGAACAGATGCACGGCAACATGGAATCTATTTGTTCACCGCAGTTCGGACAGGCAAATCAGGGATTTACGTATACTTCGAAACCACCGAGTTTCATAGGTTACAAATGATGATTTCCATAGTTTTAGTTTTGTCCTTTAGTTTTACTCTTGCTGGTCTTGCTGGTGAAACTTAAATATGCTGACGAATTCGTTGGAAACTTGCTGATGAGATTTACTAGTAAATATGCTGACGAGTTCGTTGGAAATCTCGGTCGAAATTTCCCAGTTCACATTTCCAAACTCGCCGGTTTCAGTTTTCGTTCTCGGAAAATTTTCTTGTGCTACGTTACAAGTTAAGTCATTTTTGTGGTCTACAGTCACTTCGTACATAATTCTTCGACCAAAGAGCGCTTCAGAATTCTTTCAGTCATTGTGAAATTTGATCGGACAACTCGAAATCGTGCAAACTCTCTGAGTACATTAACAGAGATTTGCAAATAGGACGAACAGACGGGAAAAGTTGATTGCAAAAACTATTCTGGTGCAGTCTGAAAATTAATTTTTTTTTCTCTATTACACAGGCCGAAGCTTCTTATATAAGGAATGGCGAGGGATTTATTGTGGTGTACTCGATTAACGATCATTACAGCTTTGAGGTGGCGAGGCAAATGATCAAACTCATCAAGGAGGTCAGAAAGCCGGAAGGAGAATGCCAGGTGCCCGTTATACTGGTGGGAAATAAAAAAGATCTCCGGCGAGGAAGAAGTGTCAGCAAAGAGGAAGCCAGAGAGACGGCTAGCGAGTTTGCCTGCTCGTATTATGAGACTTCTGCTCTGACCAACAGAAATGTTCAAATCGTGTTTTTCAATATGGTCTTCCAGGTCAGATTCACGAAAAAGACCCGGCAAAAAAGCCAGGGGTCTTCGGGTAACAATGGATTCCTGAGCTCCGTGCGTCAGTTGTTTAATCACAGTAGGAGAGGAAGCCTACCCGGATGGTGATGGAAACCCTGAAGTTTCCTGAGAAATCGTTCTGGTACAGACGAGGCCATTAAGCTTTGGTCAAATTTTAAGAAGAACAATAGTAATACTAGAAGTAGCCTGCGCACTAGGCGTTTCGACTGTCGCCTCGATTTTCGCGCGGCCAGAAGTCTGGTGAGAAATCGCTCGGCTCTATTACATGGGTGCTGTACTAGGAGGGAGCTTTTGACATGCTTCGTACAGAGGCAAAGAAAACAGGACCTATTTTCTGACTTTAAATAGATTGATTAAGTTTTAACACGGCTTTGACGCTCGAAACCATACAACAAGCGCGCTCGCTGAGGAAGAAATATAAGCTAGTATAGGGCCTGGCACAGGGTACGCTAACTTCACCCGTAATTTCTTCTCTGAAATGGTCGGTGACCCCCTCTTTTCAATTCATAGATCACTTCCTTTCGGGATTTTCTCTATTTTAACAAAAAAAACAAAAAAAGAAAAAGAAAAAAATCTGTACGTGAGAAGTTTAAAATATTTCGCCTTTTCTGCTCTAGAGGGACTGAAGTTTTCTTCAAATGTGGATGGGCATGACTAATATGTATTCTTGCTAAGGTTATTCTATCTCAAAGAACGGCATCAGCTGAAAAGTTTACTTAACAGACAGTTGTGATGTATTGAATACGTTTACCTCATCTAAATTTTACTAATGTAGGTTCTTTTATCGTTGCTTGTTGTAAGTTAAGATCGACTTGAAATATCGAAATATCGCATGGTCTTCAATGCGCCTTACCTCGAAAATGAGCACGGTGACCCGCCACTTTTTTCGTCTTTCTAGCAAAAGTTGATCTTTACCTTACTGCCATGGCAAGTTTGACAAAAAGAAGTGTTCGTGGGAACATTTTGGGCAAAAAAACAAACAAACAAACAA